GTTCAGACGTGTGCTCTTCCGATCTGCAATGTGGCACTGCCATATGCATATCTATATATACAGCGCATTTAGCATTTATATTTTGCAGTATATAAGTTGTATACTGCAAATATTATTACTCTATTGCAAAGATAAAATAGCATATAGCAGATTCGGCTAAATATCATTTGATTTTAGCAGTAAATATTTTTTGCATTTACATTTTAATAACTAATAAATTGAACTTCGGCAGCAACGACATTAGCTGTCTCTATATACCTATTTCAACGACACATTTTAACTGCCATAGCTATATTTTAGCTTCATTGGCTAATCCTTGCGTGTATATCATATAGTGTTTTCTTATTGAAATCGTGTTTGTATGTATGTAGTCTCTCTCGAGAAAGCGCGCTATACGATGGGTGGCCTACATACAGGCGCCCGCCGTACTAATGGCGCGTGTGCACTTGTGCGGCGCGGCAGCGTCGTTACAATTAGTATTAATTATCTTGCATAAAAAGCCGCTGTGATTGACTGAAGATTAGCAAGACAGAATAGGTAAAAATTTTAACTACTCTTTGATATATAATTTGAATAATAAATAAAATTTAATTTCAATTTTACACTGTTATAAATCTATATAGTGTCAAACTGAACCTTATTTAAGTTGCCACTGCGCTTACTTAATAAATAGTTCTTTTTTACTAAAACAATGAAGTTAAATAATTTAAAACAGTTCAAATTAATCCGAATTTGGATTAACTTTCATTGTTTTAGTTAAAAATAACTATTTATTAAATAGAAGCAGTGGCGACTTAAATAAGGTTCAGTTTGACATTATACATTTAACAGTGTAAATATAAACGCGATTAAGATTAATTCCTATTTTATTTTTATTAAAAAAAAGGATCGCAATCAAAGACTTGTTAAAAATATGTTTCTCAGACAATAAATAACGCGATAATGTACAATTTATTTTTATCAAACCTAACGAGGGAAATAATTGAATTCTATCAAGAAATATCTAAAATAACTTTATCATTAATTATATTTTGTACACACATAGCACAGAATAAAATCAAACAATACATATATGTATGTACTATGACATGGAACAAAGCCGAAGATTGTATTACTCGTCGGAAATATCCGTAATCTGAGAGAGGACATGATTTTCGAATGCGCAATTTTTCGAAAATAAAGCCCCAGTAGTCTCGAAAGGTGGATGTAGTACGGACACACACCAACAAATTGTATACCCGCGGTGCAGAAAAGTGAATGTTGCTATGTAGTTTGCATCCATTTCTTCAGATGGCGTTAATGCACGAAGGCATTTTGAGGTTACAGGTAAAAGGCCGTCATGTGAGTTTAGAGTGAGATTTGTATACATTCCTCAAGAGGCAACTCCTTTTAAGTGCCGCTCGCGAATTTTGCCTAGAGGCCTCAAAATGTCATGGCATCAGGCGCATGTTACGGCTAGTCAGTCTTATTTAACATACCGATTCGACTGAACGTTGGTGTACAGCGAAATTTTTCAAGCAAAGCGTGTAAATCATTAAAGAATAACCGGCTTAGTAGTGTTATCTCGTCGGTATAATTATCATTAATACACCAACGCATCGTTTGTTTATACAAATTGATGGTCACAAAAGCATTTGTTGCCGCTTATCGAAATGGAGGCCAACCACTTTGATACTATTGACGAAAGGTTTGAGTAATTTTATTTTTAATATTTTTTTTCTTTTAAATGCAGCTTTATATTCATTATTTACGTTGTAAATATATTTCTTGTTTTTACAACAAAACCACGCTCATGTTGTAGTGCAAATGAGAATGTAGTAAGCGCCGAAGCTGTCGACGTCGTTTTGGAAGAGGCCGAGATAGTGGACTGCGATGCCGATGTGGAACACGAGGATGACAACATACAGTATCACCTGTATGTAAACAGAGAAGACAATACACTGGCGTACAAAGTTATGCATGTCAGCAACAACGACAGGGAGGACAATGCACTTTCGATAGCCACCCCTATAAATAATACTGTCCAGGTATTGACTTCGCCACTGAACGGACAGTTGTACGTACTCAGCAATGGCAATAACGTTGTAACGTCGGAATCTGCTAAAGCAGTCGTACCTAGTGTAGCCAAACTGCAGATAGAAGGATCGCAGAATATTGTGACCACTGTGAAGAAGGTAAACCACTCAGCATTACTGGTACATTTTACATCATTGTAGTTTTTCATTTAGAAAAGGTAAAAATTATATTTAGAGGGACGAAAGACGAAGAGTGACGCACAATGAGGTTGAAAGACGAAGAAGGGACAAGATTAGCAATTGGATTTCCAAGTTGGCGAAGCTCCTAGCGGATTGCGATCAGAGTGTGAAGGAAGAGCCAGATGCAAAACCGAATTTGGAACCACAAGTACGGCATTTGTAAAGTCTTAAATCAATATGCGATTTTTAATAATAATCTACTTTGTTAATAATATGTTATAATCTATATGATTTGTTAATTAACATTTATAGAGCAAAGGGGGTATATTGGCACGCGCTTATGAGTACATTACGGAATTAAGAGACGCTCCGGAAAAACTAACCAAGAGCATGGATGAAAACGTACTGTTGAAAGAAGAAATCAAGAATCTTCGACAAGCCGTAAACCAACTGCAAAACGAAAATTCACAATTGAAGATCCAAATTTCAAAACAGGAGGATGTGTCTATACTCGGTACTTAAATCTTTGTTTTAGTTTTTTAGGGATATTATTAGATTATTGTTTTAGGAATTAGCATGATTTAGTGTTTTTATATTGCTTATAATTACGTATCTTCCTTAAAAAAAAATTGAATTTGAACACATGGACAAAGTATAATAGTTATAAAATGTTTATTTACATATTTGTAACTCATGTATATATATAGTATATGTATGTGCATGCGTATGTATATATATACGTATATTTATACACACGCACATATATACATATATATATGTATATGCTCGATTTGTAAAACAATGACAATCATATATATTGTATAACATTCTATTGTACATATCGTAAACAATAGTTATAACACGAACAATCAATCTCACAATGACGAGTCATCAAGATAATTAAATTAAAGAAATATACAAATATACAAAAATGATATCACCGTTTAATCAATAATGAACTATACGAACGTCAGATATATATATATATATATATTGTTTAACAGTAGGTTTCACTTAATCGCTACAAAATGTGTTGAAGTGTTATTTCCTCTAACAAGAGAGTAGGTCTACGGTATTTACACTTACAAAATACGCCTATATATGTACAGAAAACAGCGATATCATGCTTTATCTGTGCTTTTTTTTTCTTGCGTCGTTTAGAGCAGCGCAATCTCGCTACGGAAGAGAAAAAAATGAGCTCTGCTTACTTCACCGTCGGAGTGTACGCACACGGTTATCGATATCAAATCTCAGAGAAAATATAAATGCGCTTTCAAACGCGTTATATATACGTAACAATCTAAATTATCATAACAATAACGCTTAGTTTAATACTTATTGCTTTGAAGCACTTTTTCTCAAGTTTTGTGCAGATTCTGCTTATATGACGGTTTCTGAAAGAATAACAGTTTCTGAAAAAAGGGGGAGGGGGAGTAGTATTCTCCAAGATATAAATTAATTAGTACGCGTGCCATTAGATATGTAATTCACCTGCCAATACATGAGAGCTCGCGAGATACGAATTTTCGATTACTTCTCCGTCGTGAGAGTGCAAGTACAGTTTTCGTTAAATTGTTCATGAAAATGTGTTGTGCTTACTTGTGCATTATGCGATATCGTGTCCCGCAGACAACACGAATGTCATCAAAAAATGTCTGTAAAACTTGTTCAGAAGACGTTCCACTGAGGGAACGCTTTTTAGAAACGCCTCAGTGTTGCTCGGGATCCCCTCGCTACTTATCCTTAACAAGTTACGCCTCTTCCTTATACTTTTATATTCTTACACAGTTGGCCATTAAAGCAGTCCATGTATAATAGCGGTACTTATAAGAAAAATCACATTCGAACCAATGAGTCATTTCTCCTATAAAAATAACTCTGAAATGAGTTGGGTCCAGCAACAAATTGCGCCTCTCCTAAGTCTAAACATCAACAGGCTAATGATCTCTCTGTACAGTAGGAATCTTGATCCATTCTTTTATCTTTATATTGTCCTCGTCGTATATAGTAAATTACGCTGTCGGGAAATAAGTAAAAATATACCTTTTTGCGTTATACAAAACGTAAATGTCGCCTCGCCTGTACTGTTACATCCCTTTGAACACAAATATAAAAAAAGACAAAATAATCGCGTTTGTCCCTCATATGTATATATATATAGAAAGAGAAAAAAATCGAAGATACACACCGTTCTCTCTCGCCATTGAAGACTCCATTGGATTAAACAATTTTAACGAACGAAGACGTATTTCTTTAAACTTATATTGGCAGTGTTGGAAACTTTCAGAATCCGTGATTAAGTCGCTAAAACTGCAAGATCGAACATTTTGTCAAGGGACCGCATAGATAATATGCACATATTATTAACAGAAGTTCTTCTCCTAGCTGACAAATATTATTTTTTCTCGTTGCTAAGTCTTCATGCATCTTTCTGTACAAGAGTAGAAAAACTTGAGAGAGAGAGATTCTCTCGATCGTCTCCCTTTTCCTCTTTCTTCCTTCCTTTTTTCGTCTTTTCTTTTTTTAAAAAAGCTTGACGCTTTGTATCGCAGTCGAATAAAGAGGCGTGATATGCAAGTATTTACATATCTTGTCTAATCACTTCTTTCTTTTCATCTGTGTGGGTAATACTGCGTTGTTCCGCGTAAACGTAAATTTTTTCTTCACTCTCCTTCGCCCTCGCGTTTCATCCTCTCGTCTTCTTCTTGTCTCCCCGCCGTTCACAATTCCGTACAAATATTACTACGAATATTACGATTACGATGCGAAATAACGAACATTAGTTAGGCAGTAAGAGTTACCTTGTATATAGCTCGCTGGAGATTTTCTCTACGAAATACATCTACGTTTTCATTGAGAGAAAAGTGGTGTGCGGAATCGGCCGATCAGAAATTTCCTCGCGAAAACCAATCAACGTGGATTCTGTGGATCGAACTTGCTAACACTTGCGCAGAGCGTGCTATTACAAACGATTAGTTCTCGTTGTATGTAAAGTTGGTCGATAAAATTATTCTCAAGAAATATAATGAAACAATCTAGACGAAGGCTCGTTTGATTCAAAGATTTCCTAATCGATCCCGTCGCATTTCTCTCTCAAGGTTACAACCTCAAGGTTTCCTCCCGAGGAAGCATCTCGGTCGTCAGTCTTTCGATTATCATAAAAAATACAGCCGTGTGACGTACCATGCCAGCTTTTCGATCTAAAAAGCGATTGCGCGTGTAACAATACATCATATATGTATATGTATATCATGTTTCATCGGCGTTTACCAAGAATTCGCGATGAAGAATGACTAGTACTTTCTCTTTAGTACTTCAGAAGCCCGCTATTGACTTTATACATTTACTATCTACTTCTCTAAATTGTCTCTACTTCTCTAATCTATCCCTCATGTCCGCTACTATTAACGGTATAGTTGTTAACGCCAAATATCTACAAGATCGATTATACACCACATTCTCAGCTTGTAACAAATATTTTTCTTCTCCGCAACGTTCTCTCTTTGGACAGTGCTTTTTAAACTGAAGCACCGTCACAACGTCACGTTGAAGATGATCGAACATTGCTTTAAGGTCTAAGAGTTAGAGGGAGCACCGATTCGAAGACGAATTCGCGAAAATCCTCGTTAGGCATAATGAGCGACTCTTGTCTGCAAGTATCTAAACTGGACGATGAAATCTGATAAAGAGAAGCGTCTGCTTTCGTGAGAGAGACAGTAAAAATCATTTGAAAGTTTCTCCTCTCCACTGACAATGATCAAGATCGGTCGATGAAAATCGACTTAGCGATTACTTTCCCTGCCTTAGAGAAGAAAGAGGTATTACTTCGTAGGACAAAATCCATTTGTGAATTATCTAAACACCTTCGTGCCGTACATATGACGAGGCGCTGTTGTCATCCTCGGTGCTACGAAATCCTAGCGATCACAGTGGTTCGTTCATCGATCCACAAAGATTAATTTTCGACGATTTCGACCGGTTGCAAAACGAGCAGTATTACCCTGATTGGAATATCGATTGACAAAGATATTCTCGAACGTCTGCTCGCAAAGGTTCCTAGCAAATTTCGAGCAAGCAATCAATATCAAAGGTGTCGCGCGGCGCCAGGATTTCGACAGGGATGATGCAGCGTCGTTAGCTGTGCAGTTTTACAGGTCAATATACGGTACGAAGGTAGGCCTGTCTCAGGACGGTTGAAGCCGCGCGCTTTTCTTGCTGCTACCGAACATGAACCAGGTCCCGACCTTCCGTCCCAACGAATTCGTGGTGCCGACCATTGTCGTGGGCATCTCGTACGCCGACTCCCTCTTGTAGGTTTTATCTGTAACATCATTAAATTGATACAAGATAAAAATAAACCAATATCGAATCAACTATAAATAGATCAAATTGAACCGATTAATATATGTAAATTAAACTCTAATCGGCATTCGTGGATTCAGTGGACATTTTTTTCAATTACGCGCCAAATCTCCAGATAGCGTTATGAAAAATTGTTTATAACAAATTTTTCACAACGTTACATAATCTTATTCCTCAGATTTTTATCATCAAAATGAAAAAAAAGTTGTTCAAGTACATTAATTTTAAGTAAAAACACATTAATTTAAAGTTTTGTCGAATATACTGTGTGGATGACTTGACCGTCAAATACCAGTTTAAAAAATTTCGGAATACTGATTAGAATTAATACCAAATAAATGCAAGATATATTACAGTGAAAAAATATTCCAGAGAGAGGAGAGGCTAAAATAAAAATAAAATTGTAGATTTTTAAAAATACATCTGGTTTTACTAATTTATTTACAAATGTCACAGTGGTAAATACTTACTGCGAGGTTTGATCGGCGGTCTGTTCTGCTGTCTGTTGGCGGCAAGCCTGGCGAGTTGCCTAGCAGCAGCTGGAAACTCCAATCCGTCATTTCTGTCCTGAGCTACCAGCCTTCGTTCTTCGGCCATCGCCGCTAGCCACCGCCGCTTCTCCTCCCCGGTGCGGCAACAGAAAAGCAGCCATTTGTCCCGAACGCAGCTGTACACCTTCAGGCAATGCCTCACTGTCACTCCCGATTGAAGATCTACAGATAAAATTGATTGATATCTTCATTACAAGTTGCAGTTTATTATCAGTATTTTGTATCGTATCTTATCGATTTTATCTTAATTATTCAACAACGCCCTTTGGGTGTTATAATGACAGTAATACATAAAATATAGAATTTTATAAAATAACAAAATTATTACTTATTATTCTTTTATCGTAAGAAATTTATCATAACAATTTAAATTAGCTCAAGAAATGATATTATATGTATATTATGTGTAATAATAGTATTACCTTTCCCATCAGGCACATCAATAACTTCGCTGGTATCAAGATAGATGCGACCTTTGTAGACGTAAGTGTTGCGCTTGAGAATGTCCTTCTTACAATAGACTAGTTGATGATCGAACAGGAATAACGTAATGTTGTTCGTCCACATACCGGTCTTCACTCTCATCGCCTCACCGTGATAAATAAGTTGCGACGAAACTTCTATGAGATCCTCACCCTGCGACCGATTGCCACTGATTTATATTAAACGTATTTCGAGACAATTGTTTTGAGAGAAAGCTCGCACTATTAAGGTAATCGGTATTATCAAGATGATATTCAAAATGCAATTTTCAAAGACGGTCTTCTTTACAACGAAAAGCGACATACCTCCCAGCCTTCTACGCGCAATTGCCATGCGGCCAATTTCTCCAAACTTTCCATCCGCCTTTTTCTCTCGTTGATCAACACCGCGACGTCTCTCATCGCTTCCAAGGCCTCTTGGATCTTGTGATAATCCGGATGATCGGTCTTCGTATATTTCAGTAGCTCCGCCAATTGAAGGGGATATTTGCATATTCGTTGGATGGGCGTCAATAAATATCCGTCCAAGGGGATCTCTATGAGGCCCCTCATCAGTCGACAGGCCTCGAAGAATTTGCTATAACGGTTGTGCTGGTAGAGCTCCTGCAGCGTCGCCGTGGCCATCGAGTGGCTGTTGCAGTACTCGGAATACATGCGAAAACCCGCCCTCTGAAAGAATCGATAACACGCTTGTATCTCCTTTTTCTTTATCTATATAAAGGTACATATAGTTCTTTCTAACTTCTCTCCGACTTTCAATATACAGGGTGTCCCGAAATTCGCGAATCAAAATATCATAGCAAGAAAGTCCTTCGAAAAATTAAGTAAAAAGTTATTTGTAAATTTTTAATTTAAGCAGTAGTTTTTGAGATATAAGAGTTTAAATTTAGTCAATTATAGATTACGATTAAACGGAAACATATCCGTCAGCGCGTCGTAGTGTTAGTGGTCGCGCACTTCACGCACTAATCTATAATTGGCTAAATTTAAACCCTTACATCTCAAAAACTACTGCTTAAATAAAAAATTTACAAATAACTTTTTACTTCATTTTTCGAAGGACTTTGTTGCTATGATGTTTTGATTCGCGAATTTCGGGACACCCTGTATTAGTCCAAGAAAGTTCAAGATAATGAAGAAACTTAGAGATGTATTGATCAATTTATTATGTATGGGATTATTTTCAAAGAAGAAAGCCCTCGATATAAATTCTAATAATGCTTACATGATTGAGGAAGCATTCGCCAACGCAGCTTTTGTATGGCGCGTTCCAGTCGATGCGGTCCTCAAGATCCTTTAGGAATTCAGACTGAAAGTCTAGGAGTTCCTCGATGTTGATGAAGATCGTCTCGATCTGCTCCTCGGTGAACATATCCGTGCGCCTGCGGCATTCGGCGATGTAACCCTCGGCTACGTCGCGCAGGATTTTGACGAAGTCGCGCTCGGTCTGGACGAGCTCGCGAACCACGCTGGCCCTCACTTGCTCGTTCGAGAGCAGGGAGACGCTTGTCCGTCTTCGAAGCTGAGTACCCGAAGACCCTCCCGAGGCCATCGCGGCCAGGCAATCCTCTACCGTGTCCTCTTGGCTCACGCGCAACTGTACAAACAAATTTATTTTAACCAAGTCTTTATTTATTATATTTACATTTAATTTAATTTAACCACATAATTAAAAATTAAAAAATTAAAAAATTATACAGTAAAGTAAGAAACAATATATAAACAAATAATTATGATACTTTTTTTACTCGTGATCATTGTAGAGATAAAAAGCAATGTGTGTAATTCGCGCGCGTACGCGCGAATTCAAAATTGTTATTGATAATTATATTTATGTTATTATTAATTATATTGTATACATAAATTATTATATTATATATTATATATAAATAGAATTAATTATAATTATTATTCGAAAATGTGGACTTATTCAAGGATATTTACCCTGACAAAAGCGGCCGGGAACCATCCATGCTCTCCTCTGCAGCTGCCCCACCACCAATCCCTGTCCAGTGTATCAAGGACGTCAATGACATCCCCGGCGCGAAAAGCTAGCTCCTCCGGCTCCATTGCCACATGATCCCAAACAGCCTCGGCCAACATGACGATTTCCTCATCCATCGTCTGCTCGAATGATTTCTTCTTATCCGTCAAGGAAGCGATCGAGGATTCGGAATCGGACATCATCTCATCGTCTTCTGATGTTCCGGCTCTTCCATCCTGCTCGTCCTCTGATAGCACGTTGCCACCGGGTAATCTCGCGCCTACTATTTTAGGAATAGAACTTTATTATAATAAAAATAAAAAAAGAATGCGAGCACATACTCTTATATACGAGTAGATCGCCCATTCAATTTAATTTGTTGACTCGAATTTTAAATTAGTTGAAAAGATAAATAGAAATTAATCGGCACGTATAGTATCGTTATTATTTTTTAATATTTTAGGTACATTTCACAGTTCTCTGCAAAATGTTATAGATAAAATACTAAAAATATAAAAAAAGAATCTAAATAAAATCGACCTTTTTAAGGTTTTTATTCACTCATTACTATTTCAGATTGTCATTAGTGAGAAAATAGACATTAAAAATTTTTGCAAAATACATTAAAATAAAGATAGTTTTAATAAAACAACATTTGGAATCGATAGAATAGACTTACAAAATATACCAATTATCCTTTTGTTTCAGGAATTAAATCATATTTATTTTTAATCATATTATTAATTTGATAATTGTCATAGCTATAAACATAGCTAATTTTTGTTTTTAATTATGCATAATTTCATTTCCAAATATATTCAGATTATTAATTAATTAATTAATGAAGAGGAGAATTTTCGATGTATTTTACAATTCTATCAATTCTATCGATTGTGTTATTTTATTAAAACATATTTTAATTTATTTTGCAAGAATTTATATTACGTACTTTCTCGTTTTTGACAAACTGAGATAGTGCTGAACAGAAACTTTAAATCCAGCAAATACCAAGTAACATTAACACGTATCTATTAGTTATAATTTCCCACTCAACAATGTAACTATAATATGGCACATGTGTTATATTAATAGTTATATTGTTGAGTACATTACTTGGTGTTTGCTTGAAGAAATATCTTTCCCATTTAATTCTATAATACAAATGTTTCTGTCGATGTTTGGGCAAAACAGTCGACGAACAATCGATCGTTCCTACAGAACGGTCCCACAACGCAAACGACATTTCGCTCCGTTTACGCTCGTCGGAGGAATCCCTCTGGAAGTTATTGGGACAACAAGTACGTCAGCCCCCGGGCCGAAAACCGTCCACCGTGCAGCTCTCGGCGTGAGCGGAAAAAGAATGAAACAGTAGTTTTCATGAGATTCCTCGAGAGAAGGTAACCCAGCCCGCCGGAGTATCTCCCTCCTAAGTATTCAGTTAACCGCGTACGTGCGAACTGATCGCGCACCCCCCGGGTAGTCGCGGTCTCTCGCGGGAAGGAGAGACGAGAACAAGAAAGCGCCTTTACGAGGTCCCTCCGGCAAACCAGGTTCCTTACTATTATCGCAAAACAGAAGCGTTTCCACACGAAGCAAACGTTTTTACAGGGATGAAACTGTGAGCATGATTATTACACAGGGGATGTCCCATTCCTTACACACGCGCAATTATTCTTTCCTTCACTTTTCTCTCTCTCTCTCTCTCTCTCTCTCTCAAAAGGATGCATTCGGTGCGGCGACACGATGTGAATGCCTCAACAATATATGTCTTTACGAGGAATGCATGCTGAATACTCTTCAAGGTGATGTCTAGAGAGAAACTGACGGTCTCTGTGGTATACGGTGCACTAGATGTCATCGAGGGTTTTCTACTGGCGTGTTAACTCTGTCTATCCAAACAAACGCGTTCTGACATAAATCCCCCCCAACTGCAATTTCGATTACCGCACGAAAATCTCTCTTTTTGAGTATTTAATAAAAATAATCGTTGAAAAGAAATCTTTTCCGCATCGTTATTTAGCGGCTCTTTTTTTCGCTCCAATTTTTTTATATCATTAATTTAATCGTGTAATGTATCTTTTATAAAAATCCAGAAGGATCTACCATTAATTCGAAAATAATGTTTCGGGTGATGCAACTCCTTCTCGACAGTGATTCACGAAGAGACGTGCAGCCTCGTGTTTTGCAGACGCGATAAGAGAACAGTCCACGCGTGTGCTTGGTAGACAAGACGAGAGGAACGTGATCTACGTTAGAGAGCTCGGAGTCTATCTCTTCAATTAATTATAAGACGACGGTGCTCACCTGCAGTTTTGGCGCGCATCAACGGCGAGAGCTGATTGATTCCCAGTGGCTGGCTAAGCGACCGCCTCAAATTTGTCCGAGAACTCCTCCCTTTCGCGTTACTATGGAGCGCGAGAAAAAAAAGAGAGCAATGTTAATTCGACATTAATTCGTCTCTGTACCGCGTTAACGTGCGGCGTATCGAGCGAGGGGATCGACAAAAGCGTGTACTCAGGTATTAAGCATATCGGTACAACATTCAGCAACAGATTACAGTATAGGTAGGTATATAATATGTATATGTATATATATAGAGTACAACACACGACAAGAGGTATGTATATATACATATGTATATATACGTATGTTACGCGTGGCAGATCAACTTTTTACTGGAGGAAAGATTAAAAGAAGGTGGTTTGTTATAATACCCGTCTACCTACCACTGGTCTCCCTCGATTTACTGGAAAGGTTCGAGAACAAAGAATTTTAAGTTTTCCCAAGTCGTCACTTGTTTTTCAGGGGGTTTGTTGATTCGAGAGATGTGGGATTCGCGAGATTAGTGTCGCGTTTGTGAGAGGAAATTGTCAGAATTGTCATTGATTTTCGAAAGTAAAAAAAAGCAGCGAGCGAGCGAGCGCGTCAGGCTACAGTAGGTTATACGGCCGTGCGGCTAAAAAGAGCGGAATTAACAAGCGTTCGATATGTCTCTTTTTACTTCGCATGTTTCTTTTTTCTTTTAACGCCTCCTCGATTACGACACTGCTAGCTTTTTCACACTCGCAGAGTGCGAAAGATTATGCCCGCCTCGATTCCGGAAACCCAAGAAAACGTTGCGTTGACCTCGAACGCACATCCCACGATTGTAAATCGTACATCTGTCGAATGCGACAATTTTGCGCGTAAAACAAAACATTCGCCAGTATTTTTAAAAGCTTTAGTTTATGATATTTGAAAAAAACTGTGGAATAGAAGAAAAAATGTGGAATAATAACATTGTATAAGATGATATTACGGAAAAAGAAAAAGCTTCTTTCAATTACAGTCTTGTTCAGAAAATCTTGTGACACTTTTCAAACAAAATACACTAAGAAAAATGGCATATCTCATGATTAAATATGATTAAATATTTATCAAATATTTTATTCGTAAAACAAGATAAATAGTTTTTATAGTAAATAAAGTTTTTATAGATAAATTAGTAAAGGCTTCAGTTTGAGACATTTAGAGGAATTATAATGAAAGATCGAGAATAACAACATTGTAAGATATATGATATTACGAGAAGGGAATCTCTCTCAATTATAGTTCCGCTCAGAAAATCTTTCAGCTAGAATACATTGAAAGAAAAGTATAGCTTCGGGAATAATAAGGAAGATCATTAAATCATTTTAATGGGGTTTAGCTTACTCAAATCCATTTCTCATTACTGAAAATCGCTTGAATAGCTTACGATGATTTTATAACTCTCTAACTTCTTTTACATTTATACGTATATTTTTCTCTCGTTAAAGATTTTCAAGCGAGCCTTCTCTAGCACAACTGTGTCTCTATCAACTCAAGAATCCGCAACGGTTGCTTGGGTTTCTCCAGCCTTCGCGTGGAGCCGACGTGATTCGCAGATGGCGATGATTTAATGAGGCGTACGCGACAAGGGTTGCTTGAATCGCGAGGCGCGATTGTGATGATTAAACGCACCTTCTGAGTGTAACGATATCATGGGAGGAATGCCTCGGGCTGAGCCTGGGCGGCCTCGACTTGATCGGCGACGGAGTCGACAGCATCCTGCGGTAATTGTGAACGTATCCGGATCTGGTGTCCCATTGGAGCAATCTCTGGCCCCCTAGATCGCTGTTCGTGCGACGCACGTGATTGTGTCGCGACGTGCGATTCTGCAAATCCGCCTGGAACAGTCGCGCGGATTTTGATGAGGAACGCTATACAATTAATTCGCGTCGCGTTCAACGCGCGCGGACTGATTAATTCGTCGCTCCTCAAGATGAAACGTGCTAGAGTCGCACGAGTAATCTCTTTTCTCTGCAATTCGCGGCGAGTTAATATCGCAGCTCTGCGCATCATGAGGAATAACGAGAAATTTAATACGCTACTGAAAGTTCACTGTGTTATTTCAATGCAACTGTAAGATAGAGTAAGAACATTTTTCATCTTGCCTTTATCCAAGAGGTAAATCTCCCTCGCTATCTTCTTTTCTTTTTGATTTCGAATAAAATTGTTTCTTCAAATTTCACAAGAATTTATATAATCTTTAGCTACACAAAAATAATTACATTTAATCTATATATAAAATATTTAAGATTTTCTAATGTACTTTGAATAATACTTTGGCCAGCTCAAAATTAATTTTTCCTTACAGAGAAAGATCCGCGTTTATTGTAATTTTCTAATTTTGAATTGTCTGTAATTAGAATTTCAAATATTGAAATTCTATTAGAATAGACTCTATGTAAAATTAATCGAAGAATGTGTTTGTTTTCTTGAATTTGATGTTTCAAAGTTTAGTCCGCGGAAAATCTGTCGTTTTCTTTTTCCAATTGGTTATAATTTGAAAATTATTAATTCTTTACTTTTATTTAAAAAAAGTTAATTTCAAATTTATCAAAATATTGAAAGAATGCATGCTAAATTTTAAGATATAAAATAATATTAAATATATAATAATATATAAATAATAAGATATAAAATTTTAAGATATAAAAAATGCGAACGTTTCAGATAGAAATCAGGAACAATGTTGCTCTCGTAAGTATATATATACATATATATATACTACATATTAATGGCACTTCACTTTTCGTTCTCCGTCAGTTATCGACATTATTCCTCGATAGCACCGAAAGAACGGACTTCTGCGCGGAGTAATTGATTAATAATACACACAACAGTTGTATTTCGCGTACGAAACGAAATAATTTCAGACAACATCGGGACTGAACATAACGGATTCTTCACATCGTGAGTTAAATCGCGGACGATCGCACGAGCTGCTCCGTATCGACTGAATGACGAGCGCGCTTCCTCTCCCGGTATCCTGGCGCCCGCGATATAAAAACGGCTATCACGGTGGTGTCTCTCTGCGAGCATGGTCAAACCGTACATGTACGTAGAGGTGACTAATTCCGGCTGTGTCGAGGAAACAGTTACGGCCGTAACACCGATAAGCACCACGATTATCACGTTACTATATTAATGACTAATGTAAGTCGCATATATAGCCGAGAGAGAACGGGTTCATATAAAAATAAAACGTCCAGTCGTGCATGTCCTCGTCTCGCGAGAGATCAGAGCTCGGAAAAGAGCTGCGATAAAAATATCATGAACTTTTACGCGAGGAACCTTACGAAAAGGGCCAATTCGCTGTAATTCGCTGCCATTCTAGTCCTGACCCCGAAACGAATAATATAGTTAAAGATCGCGCACTCGATGTATTTAATTAATATTAAATTACGATCTCCGGTCGCGGTATCCATCGTGATTTGCATCGACTATTTATACGTCGGCGAAAAGGCTAACGCGTATCGATATCACGAGCGGTGCTCGGAGTGAGCTTGATGGAAACGCTTTTCTGCGCTATAGCTGCAACGAGAAGAGAAGAGGGAGTAAAAAGTTTACCTTGAACTTGTCAATCAGTATCTGGTTGATGAGCTCGGACTGGGGCCGCAATTTATCGGCAACTCGCCTGCGAAGGGCCGGAGGGCTGTCGGTGTCGTCGGGAACGTCGTCCGTGTCGTGGGACTCGGAGCTGTCACCACCCCCCATCACTCCGCCGCCGCTGCCCCCAGTCAACGCTCCACCAGATACCATCTACGTCATTCGTGCGAAACGTTTGCGATATTTACTTCCTTCATGTGTCAGCGCTTTTTCGTTCGGGTCAAGCGACACACGAACGTTCCCGAGGACGTTTAAGTCGTCCGGAAGACGTTTGAAGGAGGTTTGAAAGATCAAGAGACGCCTCTCTCAGCATAAGATTCTCCTATTTCGTTTAGAAATCGTTCTAATCTTTCAAACGTCCTTAGACGTCATTCGAATATCTCTTGAACTTCCAACGGAACTTGTCTTTCGAAGGAACGTAGAGAAAATCTGTCTTTCTTTCTCTCTCTCTCTCTCGTTTTCTCACCTCGATTTGTATGCCGCTATCTCCGCTGTTGCACTTGGCGTTTCGGGCGGCTTTATTACCTTTTTTCCTCTCCTTGCTGCTCCTCCAGACGAGTGGGCCGAACCTAAACATATTCGGTTAAGTCATGATTAAGTTTCTCTTCTCAAGATGAATATTATTAGACTATTAGACTATTAGAGGATCGGTACGACTTCCTCGTATCGCTGACTATGTCAAACATGTAACTTAATATGATAGATTATGCTTATATATAACTAGGAAAATCCGGGATCCTCGACTCTATAATATATTGTCTGCAATATTATATAATATATTATCTACAATATTATACACTCGATATTTTGAGACGGAATTATTTTTCATAACAAAATATATTTTTCAAAAAAGGTAAAAATATTATTTCAATTTGTATCATTTAATTAATCGTTTAAGCTCTAAAACTCTATCTATTTATACGCTGAAAATTAGAGAAATGGAATTGACGAGGTATTCGCCTCATCAAGTGATGCGAACGTAATCGTTTGTATATGTTGTGCCTTTTTATAGTAATAACATAAGATTGTACTAAGGCCAATTCTTCACATCGTCAAAATGAACAAATTATTCATTCTATCTTGATCTAAAATGATCAATAGTTCTAATAATCTTCGGGATCTAACAATAAGTTTAAAGTCGCAATCGGTCAAAGAGAGCGAGGAAACTGCGATACGAACCGGAATTTCTGATCATTGCTAGAATCGTCTTTGTGCTGGCTGCTTTGCTCGGAGGTGGTTACGGAAGGCGACTCCGTGCCCTCCTCCTCGTCCAACGGCCCGGTGCCGTCATTGTCTTCCGCGGGGCATTCCTCGTTGCTCTCCTTACTGCCCTTCTTGTGGAACCTCAGCGAGAAGCTCTTACGGAATTTCTGCAGCACGCTCTCTTGCTGGCTCTGTGCGCGATGCGCAGCATTCTGACTTCCGCCGGTGGGCACATTGGCAACATTCAGGACGGAAGACGGCTCCTGCAGCCTGGAATGACTGACCAGAGGGATCGTGGCCTCGGCCAAGGGATGCTCGGTCGTCACGTGGCCCGACCTCGTCCCGTCGTCCTCTTCGTCGCCGGACCATTGTCGACTGTAAACAGAAATTTCCCCGTATTTCCCCTTTTATTCATCTCGCAGGAAATTACGTCAAACGAGAGAGGCCGACAGGAATTCAGGGAGCTTCCGCGGCAAGAAATTCCTGATCTTCCATATCAGGAATTGCTTTAGGAATTATTGAATTCCTTTCGGTTCCCGTCTATCTCTGCCGACTCGCTTTAATCCTTATGAGAGTCATCGGGAATTAAAAAAGGATGAATCTCTTGCATAATGGATCAAGATGCGGAGCGTTCGGGGTTAAAGCGGATTTGAAGTGGATCCGACAAATTATATAGACTCCGATTCCTCCACTCGAGTTCCAAACATGTCACGTAAAGCTGAAGTCAATATCTCTCCGTCCCGCGCACGGCATGCGACCACGTATAGTACCTAAAGCATCCGAGAGCGATAGAAGGGATATACAAATTTTCGCATCGTAAAAACGGAACGGTCCGCGGTATCGTCTCGCAAATTGGATGGATGGTCTTTAAATCTCACAAGAATAAGTCCCTCCTCCACAATCTATTTTTTAAAAAACGTTACAACTGACCGATGGCCTCCGACGAATATCGACGAGAGACAGCCACGCGAATCATCATCCGTGCCTCGCATTATAATTCAGCGTCGTCTTTTTCACTGGCGAGGAGACCGCGAGGAAGACGCGAGACCGATAAATCACGGACGTGCTCGGCCGAAGGCGCGTATATAACATGTGCATGCGCGACCGCGCGGTTGACAGAGTGACCATTCCGAAACTGAGTAGCGGAAATGCGTCTGCGTTCGCGAAAGAGGAAACCGGGCCGAAATATTTCGCAAACGTTTCACGAACGGAAGTTTCCGCGTTAGCGTTTCTGCGAAATTATCGGCGTTGGCAATTTTGTTTCTATGCGTCGTCGAGCCGCTCCCTATCGTGCCAACAAGTGCAGCACAAATTATTTCGTCCTCGCGCTAAATACGTAATAAACATATTCTATGTGACACGATCATCTCCCCCTCCCTCCCCCGTCATGGTGCAACGTCTCGTTGAAATTATGGTCGCGCGAACGTTTATGCGATAGGGCGTGAGGAATTGTTTAATGATGTTAATTACATGCGCCTCGCGATTGTTAATTACAAGGGAAATATTCCCATATTAACTATTATTGTATAGGTGTTTTTTGATAATCGATGCCGAAGGCGCATTAATCGCCCGCTATTAATATTGTAACATTAGGTGCGTCAATGAGCTATATTATACCTTGACACTTCACGAATTTCAAATTTTAATTGTAACAACTTGGTGCCAGATTTTTCTTTTTTACCAAAGAATCCATCGTTAAAATTAAAATCAGAGATTTGTAAAACTGTGTCTACATTTCTAGAAAGTTTGAAAATCCTTTTAAAACTTCGTAAAATAATATAAGTTTTAAGCAAAACTGTATCGAGACATTTCATGCAACTGAAGACAATACACCTTTTTGTTTTTTATAATTGTCTCTGTAAAAATCAAATTTTATTAAAATAAGATCTATTTTAATGATATGAATATGATATAATTTTGACATCTTATACTATAAAGGCTAATAAAATTTTTTATGTGTAATCGTTAATCACTTGGAAACTATAAACGCTTTGACGTATTAAAAAAAAAACGTTTTTTTTTAATTTCACAAAGAATTTGGCAAATGAAAGAATTCATTAATTTGAAGACATCTTGCTATGCGCCAAGAACAAAATAATTTGTCGGTTAAACTTTTTTTCAACTTGGTATAGACAAAAAAGGAAGATATTTTTTCTCAGGAAAAAATATATAACTTGGATAATATAACTTCTTAGGAGAAGCTTGAGTGTGTTATGACACGTGTGTGTTACGACAGACGGGAGCAATCGCCTGAGTCAGTTTAATCGGAATCACGCACCACATCATAAAGGATATTTGTCACGATCGAGTGCTCTCCTTTCGTATGCCAATCCCTTATCCTTCCTTGTCTGCGTGTGTGATCCCCCGCACGCAAGGCCACATCCTATGCTCTTCGTTGTCACTTTGTATACCGTATCACCGTCACGAAATCGTGTCACATTACCGCGAAAGTCATCTCGATATGAATGCCATCCAAAACACTCTCACAGTTCCATCGACTTTAGTAACGTGATTGCGACAATATGAAAAAATGCGCGCGATGTTAAATGTAATTGATTAATCGTGTGCAAACGAAAACCAACATGAAAAATATCGCGACACCAAAATCAAAGTTCAAAATCCCTTCGCGACGGTTTCCCCTCCAAGGTGGGAAAGGTGTTCTCGCGGTGAGAATAATTGAAAATAAAAATTGTTTGCAACTTGTATAGATGTGCTGACGTGCCGCCACTCGACGCGAGAACTTTTGAAGGAAGGAGCATCTGGCAACTGTCTGAAAACAAGACAGCGGCAGAAAGGAAGCGCAGCGGTCGACGCTTCACCGGCGACTGAGGGCTTTCGTAGCGCGAACGACAAGTCTACGAGCGTGCGGGGCGACTATACACACGCACGGCTTGTATGCTCGTTGAACTCTTCCAGGAACAGATTTCGGGAGGGTCGATCGCATCGGGTCGCATCAGGTATAAGATGAGGGACGGTGGATGCGTCTTACACCCTGCGCCTTTACACTTTCCTGCTCTTTAGCATTTCTTTCTTCTTTCTCTCCTTCTCTTTTTTCGGCGACGGCCCACAAAAGGCATCATTTATCCGCGTAGGACAGACCTACCCTATACCTTTCATCCTTCTCTCAATCGGCAGGACGCCAACCATTCAGAGAACGCAGCGTTTGATGTCTATGTAGATATATACAGATCATTTAATTCTGTGAGGTCCAACGAAAATTGGAAAATCGTTTCAATAGTAGGTATATAATAAGTATCACTTATATTTTGACGTTTTTCATTTCACTTTTGATATTATCGACGTTGTTTAGAGAAACAATCAATTTTGTAATATAAAGGAGAGAAAAGAGAAAGAGGAAGGAGACAAAATTATAATTATAATTTATAATAAATTATAAATAATAATATATACATATTTCTCTCTTTCTTTCCCACCTCTATCTTTCCCTCTCTCTAAAATATTTCTAAATAATTTTGTTGGACTTCGAGAAAACTCGATCAATTTTTTGTATTTGCAAGATTCACTACAAATTTTTTACTACAGAATTAGCTTGGAAAAATTTTTTCAGTTTCTTACATCGCACACAATTTCACTTGTCTCTATGAGCATTTTAATATTAAGCGGTACTATTAATATTAAGACGCTAAAATGAACTGGAGTAGCTCTATTTATCCTCGAGTGCAATCCGAGCATATTACGTTAAGTAACGCTACGAAGATGGGAGTAATACGGGGTTAATCAACGTCGGCACGAATGCAGAGGACTTGCTAGAAGGGCGAGGAAGTATCTTTCAGCTCTGTTCGTTCCTTATCAAAGCGGACGGTCCTTCTTAGCGGCAAAGTGGAGTCTGCACCGAGAGCTCGTCGCCGAGAGAGAGAGAGAGAGAGAGAGGGAGGATGTGTAGACGAGATAAAAAGCCTGCGGTAGGGCGGTAGAAAACGCCTTTCTATACAACTCGGTAATTAGAACATCCGTCGATCACGCGTGTGTGTACGTAGGCCCGGATGCACAAAGTCAATGCACCCCAGGTAGGTCATCCGAAATAACGTTCTTACTCGCGCCTCGATAAACGTCCCTCTTTCTGCGACATATATACGTACATACACACGTACACGCGTGCACACACACGTGATCCGTGATGCGGAGATCGGTGGATTGCGAAAGAGAGGCTCGGAAGCGCGGCACTCTGTGGGATCACGGGCGACCTTTGACGCGGCTCGCCTTTGTCCCCTATCAGCGGGACGTTTTTTTTTCCCGAGGCCATTTCTCGTTTCGGAAGAGTCCTCCTCTGACGACGTCTTTTGCGGGAGGTCTCGCTACCGCGGCGACGAATGACACGGAATGCAATCATCTACGAGCGAACAATCGGCGCGATGAAATTGCACAAGACGTCGTCCTAGGTTTCCAATTTATTCCAAAAAGAGACGACATTTCAATGTGTCCTTTATAATTGTCCCCTCACATCAGCATAGTGTCGACGCTCATCGCGCGTTGTGCACGATGTTTCTAACGTTGCTATAACTTGACTTCGTCGACATGTTTCTGGACATTGTCATGGTTTTTTTTTATTTTTTATTTTTTCGTTTATCTACTTTTAGTTCACTATTGTAACTTCGACGTTACCGCGTCATGGATGAAGCTGACGTTCAATAAATGGTTTCGGAACGTGACATGTTATCGACAATCGAATAACACGGTGTCGTCTATTTTTTGCCGCATGTATGATCTTTAATAGAATTTCACTACTTCTTATCGTCAAACATTTGACAGACTTTCGCTTGCACGATATTTGATAAAAATCAGCATCATGAAATTTACATCTTCAATGATATCACATGAATATTTTTAATGAGATTACATTTAAAAAGAGATCCCAATAATTAAAATTAATATTCGTAAAAATGTTCAAAGTCACACTTAAATCTGAATTAAATTGTATGTGAGTATTGCATAATGAAATCCAGATGGAATAAATCGTTGCAGTATATAATAAAAAAGTAAAAAAAAAGAAGAAATAACAAAAATTACTGTATTATTCCATTTACCATTACATAATATAATACCAAATATTTGGTTTCTAAAGATATCGAGCACACATAAATCATCGTAAAAGTCTTAACGAGTATACATACATATGCCAATCCAATAATCTTGAAAGACTTCCAAGAACTTCTTCGATATTCCAAGCACGTTTTTCCGGTTATTTCGTCGTTTTCACAAATCTTTTCAATTTTTCGAATATACGTGGTCTGACTCGATTCGCATGTCTGATTTTCATTAGAGTTTTTTTACGTGAATAAACTCGTAGCTTAAGCACAGAATTCCATTTGTCGTTATCACGTTTCCCGTATATCAATCTATATAATACGACAGAGTCAGCCTCTGTGCCTCTGGCTGAAGCGGGGCTCGTTTTTTTTCCACGCAGCTTTGTCTGTGGCCACAATTTTAGCAAAATCATGGAACGAGCGCGAAAAGGGTGAACAGAAAATTTCATAAGCATCTGCAGACAGCAACACCAGGTGTTTACGGAGTAAACGGAGATAAACATATCTCAAACAATTGTAACACGGGAATGATTTCACGGAGTGAAAATCTTCACCTTCGTCGCGACCATCCTTCACGTCGCCCTTTTCGAGGATGCCTGTGGTCTCTAGAGAAGAAGATACCTCCCGCAAGTCGAGAGGATACCACCCGCAAAAGAAGATACCCGTGTACACATGTTTAGGTTTTCGGAGAAAAAGGATTCTGTGAGATAATATTTTTGTTTTTATTTAGGTTCTACGCTATTCTTTATTCATGAAAGAAGATATCATGGGATTGTTGTACTATATTAAAGATATAAAAAAGACAAAAGGAAATACGCTCAAAATAGAATAAAGATAATAAAAAAAATAAATAAATAAAGATAAGAAGAAATGTGAAATTCAAAGCGGTACATTCTTAATAGTTTAAAAATAGAATTGAACTTTTATGTGAGAGTTGTATCTTTACCAAAGATTATTTACATATTATTTTATTTTGAACGTCATTTATTAGCAAACAAATGCTTACGCAAAATTTTATGAATATAATATCCCGATGATTAATGCGTGAATATTCCTGCTAATACAAATCAGTTAGATTTGATAGAAAGAAAGGAATAACTTGGATAAAAAAATGTAATGTAATAAAAAAAAAAGGAAATAGATTATAGAAGAAAGGAACAAAATATGAAAATAATGTAGAATATTAAGTAATTTAGTTATCATATTATCATTATTCTGTTTTTGTAGTTTCGAGGGTTCGATTCTTGAGAATTTATACATTTCCATAGTATATAAGTTGTAAGGCCTTTCAAAGGTCGAAAGGTATAAATGGCTATCCATCTATTAATACTGTTTAGATATACGATACGCATACCTGTCATGGTTTCTGTCCAAAAGCGCTGGGGTGCTGGACGCTTTGATCCGCCGTTGAGCTTTGCTGAGACCAGGAATCCGTCGTCTCTCTCTTCCGGCGTGGCCACTCGTTCTGTAGTCATGCAAAGGCTGAAACAAAATATTAAAATTATCATTTGACTAAAATATTAAAAGTCAAACAACAATTGAAAATACAAATGTTGACAATCCACTAAAATAATGAAGTATTGAATAACTGTCCAGATAATCTCAGAATAATATTGTTTTTTTTCAATAAAAAATTCCTCCTGTTCCATCCCCTAATATATCACTCATTTATTGCAACAACGACATAAATAAAAAATTGCTATTTTTTTAGTTGCTTGCAAAAAAGAACGGAAACATAAAGAAGAAAAGAAAGAGAATATACTTTCATTCCTCTACAATCAGTTATTACACAAAAATGCACTTTAAAATTAATATTACAAAGTTTTAACGATTTAAAACTCAATTTTTCCGGGAAACTTTGTTTTTTTAAGTTGCGTCAATGTTGTAGCAGATGAGTAGCGATAAATCAATATACCGAAAAAAGGGTCAGGTTTAGTTTTAATACGCGGGCATATTTAGCAACATACATTATTGATGACAATTGATAACCCCCGCGAGAAAGTTGCGTTACGTATGTATATCTTTCCCACGATTCGACTGGGCACGCACGAATGCGCTTGATCATTCGTATCTTTGTATCAGTATCGAGCGTGCTTTAGCCGGGTTACCGGGTCTAATATTACGTTGCTAAGCTTCGCTACAAGTGGGTTACCAGGCAACCGGTTTTATTTAAAATCAGCGGATTCTCGTATCGTCCTCCTCTCATCGTTCACTTTTCACCGCTGCGCAGTTGATGTATTGCAAATTGCAATTGAATTGGAATTTTATTTGCGATTCTTCTTCATTATGCAGAGACCGTAAAGAATAATTACAGCGGAAATACGAGCGATATAATAAATCATAATACGCGGAGTGCTCAATAAGATATTCATCTGATGAATTAAATGGTATTTTTTGTCGAGAGCCAAAATAATCTCTTCATTATTCACACGTTAAAACATGTAACGCATGATAATCCGTCGCTTTCACACGGCAGGCTATAAATTTATCGATCTCCTCGCATCATCGGCCGCAGCTCCGAGTGCGTATCACTGCACCTTATCCGCGGTAATCAACGAAAGCGTTGATTTCGCGGTTTCTGCCCATCCTTTCACGGGTGCGTCCGCGCTAGACGGGAAATGGAAAGGGTGCAAACGGTGTCGAGCCACAAAGGTTGATTATATCTCTGCAGCTGCCTCGACACCGCGCGCGACGTCCTACTAATTAAGGTTCCCATGCGGCGAGAAATCTACGCACGATTTATACATATATAATATACATGTATATATATCGTCGAGATAAATCCCGCTTGCTCGAACTTCAATCGCCTACACTCCTCGAATCCGTTTCGCTATATAATCGTACTCGAGTCAAACGGAAAATTATGGAGATTCGGATCCTGCCACTTGGCCTTTACCTCAGTATGTAAATTTCGTTTAACGTTCTCGCGCTCCAAGAAACTTGAACAGATATCTGTCAAATTGCAATCTCGAGCCATGGCATTTTTGTCAGATAATTCGCCTCGTCGGTTATATCGTTTAAAGAGTCTATATCGATCTGAACATTTGTATAGCCTCCGCGGGTCATCCTGTATAAATACACAGCATTCGAAAATAGTCGAGGCAGCCGCTCGATTTTATCAATGTTAGGAGCATAAATTACCGGCTACACCTGCTGCGGGAGGGTGCGCGACGCGCACAACGTGGGACTTCTCGCTCCCGAGACGTCCGCTTCCGGTTGTGTGAACGCGCTGCAGCGCGGAATAGCGCTCAAGTTCGACACGATACGTCGGACGTTAACGAGTGCACATACACCGCTGCATGTCGTCGCTTGCGGATGATGCATGTAGGCCGTCCGCCGTCGCTGGCCGGCCGCGGTACACCACAGTCGCGTGCGGCGCGGTGCATCCCTATATACGTGCACAACAGCCACCGCCGAGACGTCACCGGCATCGGGGGGGCCATTACTCACGCGTCACCGATCGATGATCGCTTCCGCATAGTCGGTAATTACTCGGCTCGCGGGAGTCTGGGAGACAGCGAGAGACTGGGAGTCGCACGGGATTCGCGTGCCGCGAATATTCAGATCGGTTCGCCGAAATGAAATATCGCGGCTGTATACGCGGCTTTCTAACGCGACGTCGGCCACGGAAATACCTGGGTCCTGGGAAGAAATATAGTCAGCGATGATAAATGAATCGCGAGTATATAATGTACGACACATGTGCTCGTTGCTTAGCTGCAGGAACGCGGGTGCAGTTCTTACATAAATCTTGTCGATATCAAATCCTTACTGTCAAGAGCAGTCCTCGAGAATTATATAATACATTGCGATGAAGAAATTACAAATCACAGCTGGTGAAAAACAAAGATATATGTTGTACGTATATAAACCAAGTTCAAGATTAATAGACGGCCAACTCGGGCTGCTGTTGACAGAATTGAAAATTTCTCTATTTACTTCCGATGAACGATATTCTGCCGGTGTCTTTGTTTGTGCGCATGGATGGAAATAAACGAAATTAAATCAATGACCGCGCTTGCGTCGATCTACATGTCCATCGCATGCAGACCGGAAGATTAGCGGTTTGGGGTCTAATTAAGCCCTGGAATGTCTCATTGACTAAACGCAAGGGTCCTACGGTAACAAGTATGGTTGTATGCATCGGTAAACAGAGCCAACACGCGTCGCGATTTATCGTATCGTTGTAGGTACTAATTTGCACACTCACGTTCTATATATATTTATTACATTGCGCGTGTCTTAATTCCTGTTAGTCGAACGCGTGATTTTTTTTATCGCAGTATAAGAATAAACACAGAAATTATTTTTGTTACCGAATTGTTGAGTTATTTTTAAGCAGATTAAAAAAAAATTAAAAAATTAATCTTCAAGTTGAAAAAATTATCAAGTCAAGAAAACGTTAAATTTATAAATCCATCATCTCGAATTTTTATAAAAAAAATAAAGAAATAAAAAAATGATTATCGTGCTGAAATTCTTTGCAATTTGAGATCATTTCCTTTTCTTATATGCGTTTAATTGTTTAATAGCATTTGAGGAACTTTTTTATTCACACCTGAGAAATAAGTACGCGAAGAGAATAATATCACTCGGTAGGTGAGTTAATTTATCAAACAATACCAGTTATTTATCGCCGCGTTCACCAACAATAATGTATCGCTGTAACGACGTAGACGACGCGAAGCCATTGTTATTCGGTCGAGGAAAAAAATATCACTCTTCCGGGAGGGGTGGGTTCAGGAGACGTGGATCTTACGTCATGCGCAAAGTACATATAGAAATATGGCAACCCCGAGAAAGAGACATTGTATCATATTCTTTACCAAAGATCTTTGTAAATAAATACGACGCATAAATCAATTTCTTGAACATCAACGAAGATGAGACGCTATCCTCTCTTCTTCAGATCACCCCAACAATTCATTTTGATAGAAATATATTCGAATTGAGCGTCTGTTATTCTTTTCTTCTGCGTGAAGGTATTGATTTCGGGGTATCGAAACGACTTCTCGCTCAACCTACCCTCTATAATTTGATTACTTATTATTCTTTTAAGGTAATCACTCCCATCTTTAATATTTTAATTGATATTTTAATAATATAATTACTTAATGATACTATAATGATGATTATAATCATACAATTATAATTATTTAGAATTATAATTACACAATTATATTAATTATAATTATTGAGAATTACTTAATTATATAATTCTTGATTATATAATTACTGCAATTCTTTTATGACTTTTATCGTATTCTTTTAACTTACCGAAACGGGGGCTGTGTGAGATGTGGCGGCTTCCTGTGCGCGACGGAGCCTGCTGGGACTAGGGCTGGATCGCTGGGAATCCTGTCCACGCTGCCAGGATGTCGACCTGCTGCAACAGACGAACAAGAAAACTCAATTATCTGCACTGCGACGATTTATGAAAAAAAAAACCAGTTTATTGAAAACTGCAGGTAGTCGAAATTAGGCACTTGATGTAACTTAAGAGATCCTTATCTCTCTTGTAATTGTTGAAGTCTCTCGGACATACGGTCACACACGTATCGCGGATCTTTTAGCCTCGCTGACGTAATTAACGTGTCGTTATTTGATACACCGAGTGTGATTCAAAGACTTATTCATTCGCGCGCGAACTGCTTACGCTTGCAATAGAATCGTATATATGAGTAACGTTATCTCAATTAATTCATACACAGGCTTATCGTGTGTTATCGGTATCGGATTGCAGCGTGTCCGATAGGCGCGATGCGCCACGCCGTCGGTGATTAATCAATAAACACGCGCGCGGGTACGTCGCTTGAATCTTAATTAATGGGGCTTCCAGGAACCGGGCAGAACCCGAGCAGATGCAACATACGTCTCTGCACGGAGTTGCATCTCGTTATATCTTAGTAGGTCGCATTCAAGCGCGATGTGTGTACCATGTGTGTGTATACATATGTATATGTATGCACAGAAGACCGGGCTACAGGTTTCGCGTAATAAAATTGCGCTAAAGTAATTCGCGCGCGCTCGGTTCAATAACGCGGAAAAACGGCTTCGCGCTTTGCAATCGCGCGCGTGCTAGTGGTAAATGCATATGCATGCCGCATTCGTTTTAGTAAACACTTCTTTCCAACGTTACAAACATACACGCCGCTTTAAAAGTACCGTTTAATAAATCGTGTGCCACAAAAAGAATCCGCTGATCTTTTCATTATTCTATTTATTCATATTAATATAAAATTAGTGCAGGATGTGGCATATTTTCAGTAAGGAAAAATCGGTTACAAAATCGCGCTCGAGGAAAAATACAAATGGTTTAAGATGTCGCTAAGATATTTAATATAAAAAAAAATCAAGCATCTTTTTGTTAAAAATAAATTTTATTAATATTATTATTGTATTAAATTATTATATCTATTAAAATTTTTTTACTACGCTATTATTTTAAAGAATAGAATTTTAATATATGTATAAATCGTTAATACAGCTTATAAAATTATAAATTCTAGGAATTTATTTTGTAGTATATATCAAAAAATTGTGTCACAGACCGTCAACTTTTCAGTATGTCAATTCGTAAAAAAGTATTATGAGCGAGAATGAAGCGAAAGTATTGCATTGAATAAAAATGTGATTTTTCAAGGGGGTGAAGAGAAGGTGAGAGGGAGTTCGTACGATTCGGTCGGCATTGTTTCCGGCTCTCGCCAATCGAGGAAAACATTTTCGTAATAAATTACGATGGAGCGTACGGCTTATCGTCCTGACGCGATAATGGGTGGCGATGTTGTAAGTTATGGGGTCAAGGGTTTGCCAGGTATACGATTTGTACCAACGTTTCGTCGATAACCCCTCTCTCACAAAGACGGCGATTAATCGTCGGCGATTGTCGTGCCGCGAGACAATAATCTCTGGGTTACGTATCGCACGTAGCGCGCGCGTGGGTCCGACTTTCTACTTGAATCTCCGATAACGCGTGCGTGCCCAAAGTGCGTGGAGCAAGAGGCAAATGGAAGAGTGCAATTTCTAATCTTCTCGATTACTCGTACACCGTATAGACATTAAGCCCGTTGCTGCCTCCCGCATTTCTAAACAAATCGCGAAAGCTCTCTTGCTCATTTAATAAGCGAGGCGGTTTGCTCGATTTTCATAACGAATTCAAACAAAAAAAAAGGAATGAAGAAATCCGCAAAGAGACTCAGCCGATTGCAGTAATCTCGGGCTCGACGACGTGCACGCACTTGCGCGCGAGGACGAAAGAGAGAGAGAGAGAGAGAGAGAGAGAGAGAGAGAGAGAGAGAGAGAGAGAGAGAGAAGCGGAAATAGCGGAATTCGAAATCGCTCGGTCCCGCAATCGCACGGCGGCGCCTTCATTATTCGCGCGCAAAGTACACCTCACAAAGTCGTCGTGCTAGAAACTCGCAACGGCGAGGTGTACGCGACGTATAATACGCGAACGTCAAACGGTGAAAGGCGATAATAAACGCCGCGGCAGCGCGGCGCGGCGCGGCGTGGCGAAGCGCGAGTGAACTCGAGGAGTGCACTCGCGTTGCGTTCGCGTTGCGCAGGGAAGGAAGGAAAGGAGAGAAGAGAGAGAGAGAAGAGAGAGAGAGAGAGAGAGAGAGAGAGAGAAAAGAAGAGAAGAAAAGTCGATATAAAAAGAAAGTACCCCCGATGACGGCCGCGGAATAGCTGACATAGTCGGCCGCGAGCCGACTTACATATACGCCGATTGCGGGCAGGTCAACAGCGCGTTCTTAGGCACCTGAGAGTTCATCGATTTATTCCACTTTCTATACCGCGCGGTATACCGATCGAGACCAGCGGAATCATCTTTCTTCGAGTTCACGCGCGCGATATATGCGATGGGAGCGGCCAACTGTCGTCTCCGCGGAACGAACGAGATTTACTTAACCCTGTCGTCGGATGAGCGACGTGCGCGCAGCTCTCGTCCTTTTGCAGCGAAAGATCGGTTCTCGATATGTTGACTCTGTTCGCTGTCATGTTAACCTTCTCTATTCTCGACTGCCGGCAGGATGGCGAAGCACAGGGAGGCGTACGCGAAAGCCTCCTTTAACCTTTCATTATAATTAGCTGTACGACCATAACGTTATAAGACCAACGTCAAATCGGTCTCGAATATCAGCCATATAAATGGCTTACATTACTAGAAGTAAAGGTTGTCCAACTTTTCCTTGTCCCATATAAATATTAAATAGATTTGTTCTCAAATAGCACATATAAATAAAGTTTCACGAATATACTTTAATTATGATAAAAATAACAACAGATTAATCAAAACTTAAAGCAAATAAAATTTCACAGAGTTAAGCGAATAATTTCCCAGAAGTCCATCTGAAATGATTAATTTATCAAACGTTTCTGGCGCACTTTTTTATTCTTTACAACTAAAAGAAATAGTCTTTAATTTGAAATTCTTATATTTGATTGTCAGAAAAATTTGACTCAAAATTAATTAAAATAAATTAGTAAGAGATTTGATAAGTTGATAATGTTAAATTAATTTTTCGAAAAATATTGGATTAATTGCATACTTCTATTTACGCTTAGGCTTCTGCATTAGTCTAATAATAAGTTATTATTATTAGTTATTATAATCTAAGAGTTTTTATTTTGCAAGTTTTAATTAATTCTAATAATATACATATTACACACCCATTTTTCTTGTGAAATTTTTCAAGATCGCGTGTCGAGACAGACATTTTGTAAGGTATCCGTATCTAGAAGCCTCGACGTAGGCAAGTGCACGGCACGGTTGAGCCATTATGAAATATGGTACGTTAAAATTTGATGGATGATTACAAAAACGCGAACGACGGCGCGGGATCTAATATTTACCGTCTGGTACGTGGAAACTACGTCACCAGCGTGGCACGATCGAAGGGTATTGGCACGTCGTGCTCGGTATACATAAGCGGATACCTGCGATACGTGCGATACCTACGTGCTCGCGACTCAGGCGCGCAGCGGATCCTTCTCGCGGAAACGCATGAATTTTCAACTCGTGAAAAGCGCCGACGTATGTGTGAATATCTCAGGCGATATGTCCAAGGTTAAGGATATTTTATGTCTAAACTGCGTTATCTCGTGCATATTGCACGAAGATATAATTCTCGACGATTGAGACATATGAAGTAACTTTTGATTTGTTGCTTTAAGCGCTCAGTAAATTGTGTAAGCATAAATTATATTTATCTATTATAAATTAAACAGTCTATTTTTTTATCTATATATAAGTTAAAAATTGCTTCTAAATATTCAAGATAAAAGAAATTTTTCTCTTCTTTCTCTCTAAGGTAAATACGAGATATACAGAATATTCCAGAAATAGCCTCTCTATTCGACGTTTGATCAATTTGAAGTCGATCTTTCCTTATGTGAAATGACATAAAAATCTCCGGAAACACGCTGCTTTCCTTCTCTTTCCACTTTGTTTATATTTGAACTTTATTACTTTTTATGGAAAGAAGGATATAGCTCGACTCTCTCAACCTGCGTTTCTATCATATATGTATATTCTTAATACGGAGGCGTAGACTCGCTGCTTCGCCCAGGGCGCCGAAATACCTCTACCGGACCGTTGCGCGTGGGTGTGCTCGCTGGTGGGTAATAACCGGTCGTAAAATCTTACCGGTTTCACAACGCAGCTTCTCCCCTCGCGGCCCCGGCCCGCGTCTTATGAATATATACCTGTGTGAATCTTTTCTCGCTCTCGGCGTCCTCTCGCTTACTTAAGAGGCGCGCGCGAGAGATGCGCTGCCGCTACTCCGCGCGCCCTGCAGCGCGTAGATTCACGGATAAACGCACGATTTTTCCCTTTCAGCGGGCGCATTGAACTGTGGCATGGGAGGCCCGTGCGCATCCCACGAATGATCGTTCTATCGCGCGATGAATGATAATGCTCATGACGTCCATAATAATTCGCGTGACGTATCGCTTTGCTTTATGCAGGATATTTCCGCGAAATTGTCGCTCCATATCAACACTGCACGAATGCAATTGAATAACAATCCACGGGGTTTGAATTAATTTCTCTTTGGTGATCATTTTATTGCACGACGACTGATAATGATTGTAACACCGTTCCGATTCATTGTATTTTGTGCCACCTTGTTTTATGTGCAAGATCTTCTTATTGATTTTTTTGTATATTCCTTAGTCTTATTAAGTACTTATAAATAAAATTATTATTTTTTTTTAATTGTGTTTCTATATTTGAAATTAATAAAATTAAATAAATATCCGAAAAGTCTAACAATTTTTATTTTTTGTTTTTAATGTGGAATCATCTAGATAGCATTGATTATATAAAGTACATAAAAAATAATTGCAATTAAGAGCAAAATTTGGATAAATGTAAATGTAAAT